TTAGGTAGGAATGTGGAAGGAACATTCAAAAACCCATCCCACAGTGCTTAGCACAGTGCCTGGCACATAATAGGTATTTAAGAAATGCTTGTTGATTGACTGCCATTAGGAGGCTTCCAAATTGGCAGAAAGAAGTTAAAATTGGAGAATGGACAGATGAATTTGTTGCGGTCTGAGAGGTTGAGACCCCTCAAAGACTGGAGTACAGAACAGGGTCATCTGGAATGAATTCACAGACTCAAAAGTCCTTTGAGTCAAGTTGGCAAAGATTTATTGTTACACTTTTCAGCAGGCAGGGATTCTTAAGGAACCTTCGAGAGACTGAGGATGGAGCTGGGGTTTATATGGAAAAGGGCATGGGAAAGGAATGCCAGGGATGCTAATTAGGTAATCTAAAGGTCCAGGTTTCTTTGGGAGCTATGGATGGGAAAGTGTAGGGAGTGTACCAGACAGGGAGGGAGATGTCAGAGGCATGTGTCTTGGGAATCTGATGGGAGGAGGAGTCCCTGGGCCAGCCAGGGACAAAAATTCTTGGGACAGCCAAGACACCCCTCTCTCTCTGTCCTGATTAGAGAATGCTCTGCAACAAAGGAAAGTTTTTTCACAAGACAGGAGCTTACTAAGGAATTAGGAGGTGTCCAGAGACATGATCTTAGGGCTCGGTCCTGAGCAGCCCAACACTCTCACACAGCTTTGTGTAACTGCGCCAGGGAGAGATAAATGTCTTGCTGGGGCCCACTCATGAGTAATTGCTAGGCACTGTGTCCTTGGGCTGGAGGAAAACTGCCAGGGATAGTGTTTCTTTTTTTTTTTTATTAATTTATTTTGATTTATCAACAATCACTTCCATATGCTTTTGAGTTTAAAATTTTTCTCCCCCTTTCTCCCCACCACTCTCCCCAAGACAGCGCACAATCTGATATAGGCTATACATATATATTCCTATTAAACATATTTTCACATTAGTGATGTTGTAAGAATTAGAACCAATAGGAGGAACCACCAGAAAGAGGAAACAAAACTCAACAGAAGAGAAAAAAAAATAGCAAATAGTATGCTTCAATCTGCATTCAAATTCCGTAGTTCTTTCTTTGGATATGGATAGCATTTTCCATCACGAGGCCTTTGGAGATGTCTTATATCAGGGATAGTGTTTCTGAGGCTAGGGAGAAACATGGTCTTGGAATTGGGGTCCCAGTACAAGCTCCCAAGCACCCCATCAAATTCAGTGCAGAGGGACTTGGTGGATATTTCCCAAAATAGAAAGGGGAGGAAGGGAACATGTATTTTCAATCATTCACTATGTGCAGGCCCTGTGCTAAGTTTACAAATATTATTTTATTTGACTTGAAAGGAATGTTTTAGTATGGAAGAAATCATTCCCTTGGTAGACCACAAGACAGGATGATGGGTCAAGCTAGGCTAGTGCAATTGGATCTAGAGAGATGAATCAAGTACCATCCAATCTAATTGGGGGTTTTCTTCTGTACATACTTCTCGACTGCCTCAGGTTATTAGGGTAAGCACTAGTGCTAATGAAAACACTGGATACCCCATCTCTTGGGTAAAAAGACAGGGTATAAATTGAGATCCAAGCACATGTAAAATTAAAGTCCAGGCCAGACTAGTACCTGGGTTTTACCAGAACATTATTTAAAGGACTGAGAAAGAAGTCTCACACTGATCACTAAGATTCAGCTTGATAAGTCAGTCCTGAATGAGGAGGCAATATACAGGGAGTGTAAGGGAGCTGACTGACTCAACCTGCCTCCCCAGAGCTGCTTACTGCGGTTCTGTTTCCTACTCTCTCTCCATAGTAATGTGTTGGCATGGTGACAGGCTCATTATCCTACTCTTTCCCCTGATTCCATCATGCCATTATTCATGGCTCAGATACTAATTGTTTAACCTTGGTATTTGTTTCTGAAGTGGCATAGTCTGTTTACTAAGTCTTAGAAACACATTCTTCTATTAAATTCAACAAGCCTTGTACTTACTATATAAGTACTTGGAAGTACTTACTACATACCATACACTTTCATACTTTAAATCTAAATTTAGATAAAACAAACCAAGAAAATTCCAGATCCCTCTGGGTCAGAGGCTTAAGAAATTGTAAGTTAACCAAAATCAAAGAAAAAAAAATACACTAAATGCTTGTACATAGTACACAAGTAACAATTGTTAGCTGAAGCCTTTGTTCAAGATTTCAAGTATGTGTCTTTGTATCTTTTTCTTAAAAAAAGTAACAAATTTTTGAAGTTTAGCTATTATTTTAAATGTTTTATTGATACTTTAAAAACGGTCATTTCAAATAATTCCTTTTTCCCATAGTTCTTTTCTTACAATGTATACATATAGTTAAGCCAAACAAGACAACACATTGACAAGGTCAGACAATAATAATTAGTGAATAATTAAGCTTTATTAAGTACCTACTATGTGCCAGGTACTGTGCTAATCACCGAGAATACAAAGAAAAGCAAAAAACAGTTCCTGTTCTCTAGGAGCTCATAGTATAATGGGGGAGATGACACACAAATAACTATGTAAGATGGGATATACCCAGAATAAATTGAAGATTATCTCATAGGGTAGGCACTAACATTAAGGACTGAGAAAGGCTTCTTACAGCAGATGGCATTTTACCAAGGGCTTAAAGGAAGCCAGGGAAGCCAAGAGGCAGAGATAAAGAGATAGGGAATTCTAAGCATTGGGGACAGTCAGTGAAAATGGAGAGATTGGAGATGGCATGTCTTTTGTAAGCAAATCTGAGTATTTAGAAGGGTGTAAATTACAAGTAGACTGGAAAGGAGGGTAGTAGAATGACAGGTTATGAAGGGCTTTGAACACTAAACAGATGATTTTATATTTGATCCTGGAAGGGATAGGGAACCATTGAAGTTTATTGAATGAGGGGGTGACCTATGCTTTAGGAAGATGAATACATCTTGTTACACCTCTGTAGTCCACCACTTCTTTACTGAGCAGAAGAAGGTACATTTCGCTATCAGATCTTTGAAACAAACCATTATTCAAACCAGTTACACAGATATTAATTGAAAGAAGCAGCTGGAAAAGTGCATTGAATTGGAATCAAAGGGCCTGGGTTCCAGGAGTTCCAGCTCTTTGTGGGACCTTGGACAAGTCACTTCTCTAGGCTTCAGTTTCCTTATCTTTAAAAGTAAAGGGTTGGAAGAGATGTTCTCTAAGGTCCATTACAACTCTAATTTCTATGACACTATTGTAAAGGGAATGATTGGTTAAAGCACTGGAGGCCTTAGAAGGTTTAGATAAGATAGGGTCCCTGACTGCATAAGAGTCATTCAAGTGAAAAATGCAAAGAGATAACTATAATGCAGATTGTCTGTTGAGTGCAATAGAAGAAACAGTGCTATTGATATAAGGTATTTTAGAAAGCAATTTGTAATTATACTAAAAAAAGTGACTAAAATGTTCATACCCTTTTACCTAGATATATCACTGCTACACACATACACACATATACATCTAGATATACACAGCATACACACATATACTTTCTGTTTCTACTTCAGTATAAAGTAGTACTTTGTATATATTTTTTACTTTATTCACATATAAAATGCTATGAAGTTTGTTGTAATATGGAATCTATTTTTTCCTTCTGTATATATACATAGAGTATATGTAGTATATAGAATATATGTATGTATGTATATATACATATACACATACACACATTATTGTTCAGTCGTGTCAGACTCTTGGTGACCCCATTTGGGGTTTTCTTGGCAAAGATAATGGAGTGGTGTGCCATTTCCTTTTCCAACTATTTTTACAGATGAGGAAACTGAGGCAAACAGGGTTAAATGACTTGCCCAGGGTCACATAGCTAAGTGTATGATGTTGGATTTGAACTCAGGTGTTCCTGACTCCAGGCCTGGCTCTCTACCCACTGCAACACTTAGCATATATGTGTATGTATGTATATGTGTATACATGCATATATGTATATGTGTATGTACATATACTATTCATAGTAGCACTTTTTGGTGGTAGTAAAGAACGGCACTGAATCTTTGATCTTATGTTTAAGAAATGATTGAATAAACTTATGAGAATGTAATGAAATATTATAGCAACAAATAATAAATGTGAAGAAATAAAAGAAACATGGGAAGATTTTTTTTAAATGACTTGACGTGGAGAGAAATAAAGAGAAAAAGACTCAAGAGGAGGGGGACAACGAAGGCAGAATGCTGCATACATTGTCAGATGAGGTCATGGCAGTTCTCTTGGTTTAACTAATTTTCTTCATTACCAGGGAGGATTACACGGTGGTAGGGGGTGGGGTGAGGAATGAGGCGAAATGACGCTAATGTGGAAAACAAAAAGCCAGAATACCAATTATTTAAAAAATTAAACCCAGAGGATTGCGTAGGATGGAGTATGAGACCTGGGACTCCATGCAACCTGCGCGCTCGCTCACTTGCTTTATTGCCATCTGCCGGGTGAAAGCCACCGACCCATGGGGTCCCGGTAGAGGCTTTTTGTAATACGATTATTATTACTTAATTCTTGTTACTGGACTAGCAGCTAACATTTGCACAGCGCCTCCACACTTGCAAAGAGCAAGACATGCCCAATCTCATTCTCTCAGGGCTGTCCTAAGAAGAACGCATGGGCTTCTCTCCCCAGCAGCTCGCCATGCAGTATCTGCACTTGCCGGCGAAAGGCGAGACAGACGTTCCTTTCCCGTTCACGTCCACGTCCTGCGCAATGACGTCACCACGCCGATGACGCGCCCGGCCCTTTCCGGCTTCTTCTCCTCTATCTTCTCTGGGTCGGGGCTGGCACGAGCCGAGCTTCTCGTTGCGCAGTCGTTGTTGGGTCTGTGGCCTGCACTTGGGGGTTGGGGTGACGAGGCAGGGCCGGAGGGCGTGGCGCTGCGCTGGACCGGGCCGGGCCTTGTTGGGTCAGGTCGGGCCGGGCCCGGCAGGTCTCCCCTGCCCCTCCCCCCCAGGAGTTCCAGCATGGGTCCTGCTGGCATCCACTGACGGTTCTTGCCCCGGTTCATTTTATTGTGAGGGAAGTGGGTTGAACCGAATACGAGAAGCAACTGACTTCATGCCGCTCCTGTGCTTGGAGGAGGACCAAAAAAAAAAAAGTCCCACCTGGCAAAAATTCCGTGTCCTCTTCATCAATAGAAACCCTCAGGTATTTCCTCAACCGTGATAGTGTTTGGGTTTCGCTTTTGCTTTTTTGTCCTTGGACGTCCCCCGCATAGCTAGGTCTCCCGGGTGAGACAGATGCAGGAAACCGAGGCGGCGCCAATTCCAGCCACGGGTTTTGCTATGCCTCTGAGCTGTGAGGTGAGTTAAAACGTCTGGCAATAAGGAGTGCCTTGGTTTTCACGTTTCAGGCTTGGGGCTGGGGAAGGTGGGGGGACCCGCCTGAATTTGGTGGGTCTGTCTGACCAGCTCCTGCACGGTGACTTTCTCGGGTGACATGAACCCACGTGATAGTTAACTCACACGGATTCTGTTTACGCCCTTGTACTTTTTTCATTCTTGCTAGTTAACTCCATCCAAGGAGGCGTCATCGAACCTTTTTACATGGTATTGGAAGCAAGTCATAAGTTAATGAAGCTTATTTTTGTTTGTTTTTTTTAAATCGTGTGTTAAGCATTTCTCGGTTTTCGAATGAATCCTTTTGATGTTGCTCCCTAATAAAGATAGCTAGTATTTATGTAGAGTGCTTTAAGGTTTGCAGAACATTGACACTTGTCATTTCATTCAGTCTCTATAGTTTTAATTGGCTGTGTACACACACACGCACACACACACACTCTCTATAGTGGGCAATCCTGACATTTATTTTGCAGTTAACATCCTTGTACAACCTCCCCCTCCCCACCTTTTTTTTTTTTTTAAATTTGAGGATATTAAAGATGATTACAGACCCTTTACTGGATAAAAGCAAACAAAAGTTCCAGTTCTTCATTACAATGTTTTTCGGACATATTTGAAAGTTTTTCAACCCTTATATAATTCAGCACCGTTGTGGTTTATATAATTGACTTACTTGGTCGTGGCCCTTCCAAAAATATATGCTGTTTTTCACTTTTGCTAATGTGCAGAATTGGTCTACAAGGTCATTTTTATCTTCTGGGCTGGAGTGGGAATATTTTAACTGATGTAATCTTATCTCCTTTTGAAAGTCACTAGAAAATAAGTTCACGAGTATATATGTCAGTATATATAAAAGATTTTGCTGTCATTTGTGTTCTGTCTGTGGGAAAGATATCTGAAAACCACATACATAGATTACAAGATCTCTTCCCCATTAAAATTGAGAATAGTTGCATGTGTCCTTTTGGTTAGCAGCCATTGTGATTTTGGGGGCAATTTTTGTGGCAGGAAGTGGGGTGGAGATTTGAAATGAACAGATTGTTTTAGATGGTGTTAGTAGGCTTATAATTTTCTGATAAAATTTGTTTTAGATCAGTAGAAGTCCACATTGGAGTGAAGAGTTGGTATGGCTTGGCAGAATATGAGTGAGCTTGAAATTGATTATAGAATCCAGAGCTGAGGAAATCATATAGATAATCCCTTCCTTTTAGAGGTAGGAAAATAGAGATAGGGAAAGCATAGACTGGTTTTCCATGTGATGCCAAGCTTAATCTGTATTGTCATTAAAAAAAACAGTTATGGACTTGGATCACCCACACTATTCAGTAGTTATCTAGCCTATGCATCATATGTGTCCCATTCAGCATAATGGTATTGTATATTAAATGTTAGTAAATTGACTGCTCAACTTATTGTGATTTAGCCTTGTCATTTCGTGTTATGACAGGTCTGAACAACCTGCAGCACTTATGGCCCTTAGGCCATTTACTGCCTGCCAAAGGATTTTTGATGGCCCACCAGAAATGTAGAGGAAAATATCCTTTGTATGGAGAGGAAGTCCTTTGGCATGCCACCATTGGTGGGCTGCAGGTTGTGCAGGCCTGTGTTATGACATGTAAGTAATATTTCAGGAAGGCCCATTTGTAATCTTGTATTGTAATTGACTCATCCTGCTGCCTTATAGATAGCTTAATATATGTCTCATGCAAACTTGTTAACGTATGGAAACATACATATAGAGCTAGGCAATGTGATAGAGCATAAGGGACATGGCAGTACTAGGTTAATTGACCATCCCATCATACCAATTTAACTTGATATTGTCTTCCTTCCTTCCTTCCCTCCTCTTTTATCTTTCTCCCTGTTTTGTTTGCCCTTTCTTGTCCTGGCACATTTTGTTGAGCATACACTCAACAGCTAGAAGACAGACAGAATACTTAACTTAAAAGTTAGGAGATATGAATTTATAATCCTGTCTCTGATACTAGCTATATGCCCTTGAGCAAATCACTTAACCATTATGAGCCTCAGTTGCCTCATCTTTAAAATAGGGATAATATCTTACATGGTTGTTGTGATATTAAAATGATATAGTAAATATAAAGTAATTCATAAACTTTAAGCTGTTGTATAAATTCAAGTTATTATATACACCTATAACCCTTGCCCTTAGTTAAATCTGTGTGGAGTTATTGTCTATACTGTGATAGAAGCTTAGTGCTTCTGCTAGCCCTGATGTATTGTGGCAGAAAATGAGGTGGAGATTTGAAATGAACAGATTGTCTCTTTCTGTGAAAAATAATTTTCTAATTTTCTAATCTACTTGCTATAGATCAGTGGAATTCCATATTGGAGTGCAGGGTTGGTAAGAGTGTGGCAGAGTATGGGTGGGCTTGAAATTGATCATAGAGCCAATAGCTAAGGAGATCATACAGATAATCTAGTGAAACCCTCTCTTTTTAGAGATAGGGAAATTGGGGCTCAAAAAGGTTGTGGCTGGTGTGAAGTAGCTTGTAGAGGTGCAAGGTACCTGTTTACTTTTCCATAGGCTTGCCCATGATGACATCCAGTGATGTGGACACTGCTTATCCTATTAGTACACTCAGCATTAAAAAGCTGCTGCATTGCTGGTTAGCATACTAATCTACATGCAGCCTAGGGTACCAAAGAAGTATTTCCAGAATGAGTAGCTGTGAGTTTTCAAGACACTCCCTTGGCTTATCTGTCTTTTTTTCCATCATTTTTTATCCTTGTGTTTCTCCTTCCTCCAGCCCTATATACTTCTAAATCTATCTAGATTTAAAAAAATTTTTTTAAACTAATCCTGGCCTTTATTCATCACAGCTATGAAGATATCTCAATAATTTGTTAGTATTTGAAAATGTTGTTTTGCTGTTTAATCAGTGTATACAAAACTTCTCTAATTCAATGGCAATATTAACAAAGCTTGTACAGTGAACAATATAAGTGTAATAAAATGATTCAAGGTGTTATTTTAAGTGTATGTATGTTTGTGTATGTATATGTACATATAAGACTCTAATCCCAAGGTTCTTTTAACATATATACACATACAGAGATTGATAAGATTCACTTTATATTCCGTTAAATTAGGGAGGGTGAGGAAAGGGTTCCTCAAGACCCTGTCCTTCCTTAGATCTTTCCCATATCTATCAGGACAGACATACAGAGACTTTGAGCATATAATTTTTTCTTAGGATGACACTTCTGATCTATATATGGATAACAGAAAGATATATTGGGTCCATCCCTGAACTTTCTTTTATTCAGTCACATCTACAAAACATCTTCAAATGTATATCTTGTCACTAAATTAAACATGGTGAAGATGTTGCATATTAGAACCCTTATACTGTTTAACTTCATTTTAAAAATGAGGTATCTCCACCTGAGTTTCCAGGCAAAGATACTGATCTGTTCCAGGCAAGGAAATTTATAGTAAATTTTGAATTAATACTACTCATTTATTGACAGATTTGATTGCTTTACCTTAATATTTCCTGAATCATCTCTTTTCATTCTTTTATAAATGCAGCCTTACTTTGAGGCATGGATTAGCAACCTATGGAAAGAGTGTCAAAGAAGACACATGGGTTGATCCTGGAGGTAATAGAGATCCTTTTGAATGTATTGACTTGAGGAGAGGGGAGTATATGACATGATTAGGCCTGAGCTTTAGGTCGATCACTTTGGTTGCTTAAAGGGTGGATTATTGTGCAATATTGGTGCAATACCTGCAGCAGGGTGGCAGCGGTAAAAGTGGAGAGAAGGGACATGAGAGATGTTGGTGAAAGTAGAAATGACAAGACTTGGCAATAGATTTGGATATTCGTGGTGAGTGTGAAGTATGGATTGAGGAGGACATTGAGATTCTGAGCCTGAGTCAATGGGAGGATAGTGGTGCCCCACGATATGTATAGGAAAATTTGGAAAAGGGGAGGGTTTACTGTTAATCAGTTTTGTACTAGAAATGCTTGCTTTAGCAATAAGAGAAGAAAAAGAAATTGAAGGAAATAGAATAGGCAGTGAAGAAACAAAGCTATCACTCTTTGCAGATGATATGATGGTATACTTAGAGAATCCTAGAGAATTAACTAAAAAGCTACTTGAAATAATTAACAATTTTAGCAAAGTTGCATGATATAAAATAGACCCACATAAATCATTGGCATTCCCACATATTACTAACAAAGCCCAGCAGCAGGAGATAGAAAGAGAAATTCCATTTAAAGTAATTGTAGACAATATAAGATATCTGGGAATACCTGCCAAGACAAACCCAGGAACTGTATGAACACAATTACAAAAACACTTTTCACACAAATGAAGTCAGATCTAAATAACTGGAAAAATATCAGTTGTGTATGGGTAGGCCAAGCTAATATAATAAAAATGACAGTTCTACCTAAATTAATTTATTCAGTGCCATACCAATCAAACTACCAAAAAACTATTTTATAGAACTAGAAAAAATAACACAATTCATCTGGAAGAACAAAAGGACCAGAATATCAAGGGAATTAAGGAAAAGAAATGCAAGGAAATGTGGCCTAACCGTTCCAGATCTAAACTGTATTATAAAGCAGCAATTATCAAAACTGTTTGGTATTGGAATAGGTTAGGTATGCAAGACACAGTAGTCAGTGACTATAGTAATCTACTATATGATAAATCCAAAAACTCCAGTTTCTGGGAAAAGAACTCACTATTTGACAAAAACCCTTGGGAAAACTGGAAAATAGTATGGCAGAAACTAGGCATGAACCAACATCTTATACCATATGCTAAAATAAAGTCAAAATGAGTACATGATTTAGTCATAAAGGATGATACTATAAGCAATAGGAGAGCAGGGAATACTTTACCTGTCATTTAGGGAGAAGGGAAGAATTTATAACCAAGCAAGAGACAGAGAACATTATGAAATGCAAAATGGATAA